CAATCGGACGAACTTCACATGGATCAGGAGCCTAGATTTTAAAGCAATGGTAATGATAATGAACAAAGACAAATACTAAAACTAAAAACAAAAATAAACTTGCTCTTGTCAGTCTAAGGTAGGGCTTTTCTAAGTCCTGCAAAGTGCCCACGATTTTACAGCGTTCAAGGTCGGCACTCAGGTCGCTGGCATCATCAGCAAACATGAGCATAAGTTGGCTTGCAGACCGTGCTATTGCTCCGGCCCCTGACATAGAGGAGGTCTCTCCTAGATGATCCTTAAAGCGGTCAGCACGCTGATTTAAACGAGCAAGTCCAGTACCATCAACTGACCAGACAGCGGCCCGAGCACCCCGTTTTCCACCTCTAACGAAGTTTTTAGTCTTGACCTCTATTTGAGAGTTTGCTGTACTTATAGAGTTTGATGCTCCTCGGCCTCTTTTACATTGTTTGGCACCTCTACCACCACGAGCACCAGATTGGGGATGAGAATCTCCATTCTCTGATCTTAAAGGAAAATGTAATATTATCGTGAAGACCGAAACACAGATGCGAAAAACAGTCATAATCTAAATCCTCATACCTGTTTGATTTCCTTCGTTTCAATGATCGGTTATCCTCATGGGAACACAAACGTTTTGAAGAGTAACCGGGCACATACTTCTGATTTGAATGCTTAGCTCTGTGGTTATCATTTGTAGAGGAACGTGAAGAACATGAAGCGCTAGAAGAGCGAGATCGAGAACCTGAACGCGACCTTGATCGATATCTAGACTGTGAGGAACTACTGCTACCAGATTTACTACGTCGAAACCGAGAGTGTCTCCTTCTGTTAAACGGAGATTGCATGTCAGAACTTTCGACTTTGGGTTTTAGAGATAGCGTTGAGGGACTTGCATCATATGGCCTGAGTAAAAGTGAATTATCACAAGCTTTCGACGCTTTCACCTGGTCGGAGAGCGGCACAAAAGATGGCCGGAGTACACTTAAGGGAAAAAAGAACCAAAAATGTTCTGACCTATTCCATTTAAGCAAATAATTTACGACAATTAGCTTAAAAAAACATAACATAGTTATTACTAATAGGGTATTTAGGAACACAGGAAAATACTCACTTGACTGATCGGGGAGTACACGAGCCAGGAATGGAGTAATTTGGAATCACAGGAAGTGGTTCTTTTGTCCAATCAATCTTAATCTTGTTCTTAAATATGTATTCAAGCTTCTCCTTGAGTATTCTTTCCATTCTATCTTTCTCATGAGGCTTGTCGGTACTGGCAAAAGCCCTCTGCACATAGTCACTAGTCTAATGAAATAAAGTTGGCACTTACGTTATTTCCTGGGGCCATTGGCTTTTAGGAGGGGTACCAATACCAGAGTCCACATCTTTTGGGTTCTCAGTCTTTGGGACAGATGGGCTAGTAAATGTCTGTTTAAACGGGAACCGAGGACCTTTGTTACTAGAGGGTGAGGGAGTATACCAATTAGGAGCATTCGGTCGTGGACCTACGTTGGGTGAAGGAGGGGGTTGATAGACAGTGTATCCACTATTTGCAGCATTCCACCGGGCGGCAGCCTCTGTAGAGCTTGAAGGGGGCACCGAGTATGGTTGCGTAGCATCAAAAGAAGCTTGGGGCTTATCTGGAGGTTTAGTGACCGGTGCAATACTAAATCGGATCGGTGGGTGATCATGAGAATAATTGTAGGCATGGGGATGGACTTGTGCTTGATACCACGATGTATAAGATGAAGGGGGCTCCGTGGTAGGGCCTCGAGACTCATCTTTTGTGTCTATGCCAGGGGGCGGAGGATGATCAGACGGAAGTGAAGTATTTTCGGATGGTTGAGGAAGAGAAATGGGCTGGTGACCATAATTATAGGCCTAGATTTTAGGTTCATAGAAAAAGAATACCTGGGGTCTCTGGATACAAGGATAGTATCCAGGGTAATGAGGACCATACCAATCGTGGTTAGCCCATTGGTCGTTCATTGGAAAGGAAATAGAAAAAACAAAAACGGCGCGCAAGGGAAGCAAAAATGAATACTTTACATACATAAACTCGGGCTACATTATCTTTACATATTATATTTTTATTAAATTTAAACATTTTTATTTAACAGATGATTTTTTTGAGTTAGCTTGATTTATTTTTAAAATATTTAACGATAAAAATTAATTATTTATGCATTGAGCAGCATTTGTTTCAGGCGCTATTTATGGTTGACTATCTATCAATCGGAAGTTCTGTCTAATCATGGCCTTCGATTCGTTTATTCGTGATAACCTAAACTCTGTAAGTTTGTTGGCTTTTGCCTTTTTATCCTTTTTTGAATTATTTATTATTTACTAGTATAAATATAAGTATCTTGTTGAAAAGGATATATTTGCAGCTCTAAAATGCTATCCCGACCTTCGCCCTAAACTGGATAAATTTAGTAATTTTATTTGATTAACAGTCTACAGCTTTCAATAACGGAGTTTCAAAGGAGCTTATGTGTCTAGAAGGAACAATACCTGTTATCTTTATGAACTCAACATACAACATCCCTATTGTAATTTTCCTTATAGAAACTCATCCCTATCATGCCCCCATGGTTTATGTCAGGCCGACAAGCACAATGCTAATTAAAAAAAATAGCTATGTTGATGATAATGGCCGCATCTTTCTTCCTTTCCTCACTGAGTGGAAGCACGTAAGTTTTTCCCTATTATAGAGACTTAACCACCTTTATCATCTCAAATGTGTCAAAGCGTCACTAATTGTG